TTGGTCCTGGTCCCGGTGAGTCCTGGTCCCGGTGGTTCCTGGTCCTCTGCATCCACGCCGTGGGGGGGAACAACCGCGGGTTCTCCTAGTTTCCTAGTCAAGGTTCCAGTTAGCGGGTGCCAACTGGGACCTTGATCTAGGGTACCTGGTTCTGCGGTTGCGAGGCCTCTCGTCCGGATTGTAGTCCATGAGAAATCGTACCTGCTCGTTCGGGTGGTCCTGAGCTTTCTGGAAGGTCTTCTCCGCTTCTTTCCTCATGTACTCGTGAATGGTGTCTCAATGCAGGTCTCTACGCAAGGTTGAGTTTCTTACGTAGGATGGTGCACTGGTGGCGATCCGGAGTAGCTTCATCTCTAGAGCAGCAAGTCGCTTGCGGAAGCTGGGGGCAGCGTACCCCCAGACCGCGGAGGCATAAGCGAGCTGAGGTCTGGCGATGGGCTTGATCAACCGTAGCTTAGTCGCTAGCGGCATCCGGCTCTGTCTACCCAGTATTGGGTAGAGTTGAGCCATGGCTGCTCTGGTCTTTGCGATGACAGCTTCTATGTGGTCTTTCCAGGTGAGGGACTTGTCAAATACGATCCCCAGATATTTGACTTTGTCGCTCCACTGGATATCTTAGTCGAAGATGGATGCTTCGAGAGGTCTTGCAATCCTTCTTCGTTGGATGAAGATTGCCTGCGTCTTCTGGACGTTGATGCGGATTTTCCATTTCACGCACCAGTCCTGGATGTGGTCCAGTTCATCCTGTAGTCTCCTACGGATGATCTCGGGTCGTCGATGCTTGGCGGCTATAGCAGTGTCGTCTGCATATAGGGCCAGCATTGTGTCAGCTGTCTTCGGTACGTCGTGAGTATAGATGTTGTAGAGCAGGCGGGCTAAGGCTGACCCCTGGGGCACGCCTGCTTCCAGCTGTCGTCTTGTTGAATGGCATGTACCAATTTTCACCGTGAACCATCTTTGTGTTAGATAGCTCTGGATCAGTTGGCACCTTACAATAAAGTTCACATGAATGCAATAGAGCGCATACAAAAGTTTTTAATAAACTGAAAATACCAGCAGAACAGATTGATTTTGACGGCTTGACTAAAAAATGGAGAATCGAGGCATTTATTTTAATAATTGCACTTTATATAAGTTGTCTCATGGACTGATATGTGTAGACAGACCTTAGATAAAATTAACTTCCATATACTAGCCAGGCAAACGAGGCAAAACCAGTTGTTCCCTGTTCTGAGTCAAAAAAACAGGCAAATGATTTACCACCTTCATTGTATTATTAATTTAAATTTTAAGAATTTCAAGACTACATTGATACTTGTAATACAACGCAGCTATCATGATCTACAAATAGTCGTATATGGAGGAAAAATTATAATTTTAAATATATTTGAGATCATAATAATCTGCGCCACTGTATTTGCGAAAGCTCACATCTGCTACAGAAGACCCCATCAGCCAGAGATGTAAGCTGTATGCTCAGTTCCGCGGGTCTCATTAGTGACGGTTGCTGCAGAAGAATGCAATTTGGGATTTATGTGTGACTTTTTAATCTTCGGACGTGAAGATTATGTTGCAAGTTACTGAAAAAACGTCACTAAAAACTCCTAATTGGCGTAACGACAAAAGCTTTTTGTGCTTGCCGAGAAGAATATATGGTAGGGGTTTCGTAGGTGGAAATTATGTTCAGGTAGCATTAACGATGTTGTAGGTTACCAGCTGTGTGTCAGCTACAAATTGAATAATCTTCAGGTTACCGGATCACCCAAGGATATTGTCATTATGCCATAAATGTATACTAAGATTTCATAAAATGTAATTTCAGTTGTATATGTTGTCAGTTGTGTCCTAATTAGTACTTTGACATTAACAGCACGATTTTTTAACGAGGAAGCCTAAAAATTGTCACTTGATGCCTGCCAATTCAGATATGCATCGTTTTATGACGAAACAAACAACAAATTTTGCAAGTGGAGAGATACGCTTTGGAATTGTTACGGATATTTGTTCCTGGCCGCGAGATTTCTTACAATGGTGATATCCACTGGTTTGCGGGATCATGCATTTTAACCCCACTTGAAATTTTCTTGTGGGAGTTGCTCAAGGATAAGGTCTATTCAAACAATTCGGACCCATTAATGCCCTAAAGCACATATATTTCCTGCTAATTGATTATATTGAGCTGCATTTGTTCCAAACAACGCAGCTGAGGAGACATCTTGAGAATATTATATATAACATAACTACCAAGCCAGAGATGTAATTGACTGGAATATCGAACTTCGGATATTTATAGCTGATACTTCGTGTTGACTGTCCGTTACAAACTACATTTTGTAAAAGTAAGAAGCTAGAAATCCTTCTTAAGACAGTAAACAATATCTGTGATGATGTGGCTCCAGTGGCGGCTCGCCCCATGACGCAGGTGAAGCGCTGCTTCACCTGCAATTTCAAAAAAAATATATTTTTTTTATTTTGAAATTTATAAAAAAAATTCATTTATATCTTAAAAAATTATTTTTCGGACATTCTTTATTTGTATTTGCGATCAACAGAATACTGAGAAACCCCGCAACCAACAACGCGCCTACGTTTGCGCTTAATTTGGCGTGGTGAAACAGAGACCTGAAGCAGCTTTATTTGCACCGCATTGCTGCGTCCAGTACAGATACGAGCAAATACGACGGTTGCCATGACAACGGCACGCGCGCTTCCGTTTTGGCCGAGGCAAGTGAAGCAAATTATGAATTTGCGTCTAGTCTGCTCTGCATTACTACCGATATCGTATTGTGTCGAGGTTAGTTTTCATTGTTTTGAACAATGTTTCCTGTCTATGATACGGTTTGTGTTATGTTGGAAAAATCGTTTTCTCAATGGAGTAATGATGATAAAAAAGACTTTTTAAACTCCGAAAAACATTCTCCGATATTAAATGTAAATAAAACCGCTAAAGTTAAGGACAAAGTGTACAGTCGAAATTTTAAAAAATCGTGGTATAGTGAGTTTGCATGGTTATGTGGTAGCTATTATTTAAATAAACTTTTTTGTGTGCCGTGTTTGATTGTAAGTGTTAAAGCAAGCGTGTGGAGCAAGTACGGTTTCAATGATTTCGGGAATGTGACTCGTGCTCTTCGTAAACATGAAGGATCATCGGATCATATGCGTTGCGCACTAGGTTTTTCAAAATTGAAGAAAAATCTCACTACTATTGAGGATGCTTTACGCGAAAATTCCAGGCTGTATATTAAACAGTTTAACGAAAACGTGCAACTTAATAGACGTTTCATGGAATTGCCAATACGCGCTGTCCTTTTTTTGGGCAAACAAGAACTGGCGTTTCGTGGCCACAACGAAGAGACGACTTCTATTAACCGTGGAAATTTCAAAGAGCTCCTAGAAGCATTTGTATCTATAAGCCCTGTAGACATTCAGGAGCACTACAAAAAAATTGCCTCAATATTTGCGGGCAATTCTAAAACCATTCAAAACGAAATTATTGACTGCATTGTCAAATGCATTGATGAATATGTGGAAAATGAAATAAAGGAATGCAGTTTTTTTTTCCATTCAGGTGGATGATTCCACCGATATTGCCCACAAATCGCAGTGCAGCATAATAATCCGTTATGTCAATCTTGAAGGAAAACTTGTGGAGAGATTTTTAGGATTTCATGATGTAAGCTGCAGCCGAACATCTGAAGCATTATTTAACCTCGTGACAAGGTGTCTACAAAATTTTGATTACAAAACAAAACTCGTTGGACAATGTTTCGATGGTGCAAGCGTCATGTCCGGACAGTTAAATGGTCTTCAGGCTAAAATAAAGGAACAGGCACCCCAAGCAGTTTTTGTTCATTGCCTCGCACACCGCATGGAATCTAGTGTTACAACAAAGTTGCAATAGTATTACAAAATGCCGCATTTTTTTTGCAACTATAAGTGGTTTACCGACATTTTTTCACCATTCTCCGAACGAACTAACGTAGCAGACTCAATAATAGGACGTCGAATACCTGTTTCCGTTATTACGCGATGGACATCAAATTCTAAAGTTATCAGTTTTATAAATAAGGAGTGGGATTCCTTAAAGCAAGTGTTTACTGAAATTATTAATGATCCAACCTCCGATCAAGCCTCGGTTAGACAGAGCGACGGATTTCTAAATAAATTCCATGACTTCGAATTCGTGCTTTTGGTTGTTGTTTTTAACGAGATCTTTGGAATGACAGATATACTATTCGACACACTGCAAAAAAATCTTTTGATATAAACCTTTGCATTAAGCAAATTATAAGTGTTCAAACACAATTAAACAAGAAGAGAAATGAAGAAACATTTAAGAATATTTTCGAATTGGCTCCATCAAAAACAAGTGTACAAACGGAACACCGCGACGGCAGGACAAGAGTAAGATTGTCTCGGGATCAAATTATTGAAAGATATAGAGTGCTGTATTTTGAAATTTTGGATACCATTTCTCTGCAAATCACGACCCGTTTCCAAGATATGGAAAAGCTTCAGTTTGTGACGTTAATGGACACTTCGAAGTTCAAAACATATTCAGAAAAATTTCCAACAGAAGCCCTAAGTAATTTGAAGGAGTTTTATTCAAATACATTCACAGATTTTCAGAGACTGAAAAATGAATTGCAGCTGATCTATAGCGATAATCAATATCAAAATATGGAACCCCGCTTATTAAAGGAATCGCTATTTGAGAATCGCAGTATCTTCAAGGAGGCATATAAGCTTTTGTGTTTAATACTGACCATTCCATCAACAAGTGTTTCGACAGAACGCAGTTTTTCATGCCTTAAGCGAATCAAAAGTTATCTACGAAGTACCATGTCGGAAGATCGGTTGACGAACTTGGCAAAAATATCGATCGAAAAAGAATTATTAAATGAACTGATAGTGTCACAGCCGTTTTACGATGACGTTATAAATAAGTTTGCTAATTTGAAGGACCGACGAATTGCTCTCATATATAAACAATGAAAAGTGCCTGATAATCCTGACTTTGTTTTCGAGTTACTGAATTTAGGTAAGTTATTTCATGTTTTTTTTTTTGTGTATGCGCTCTACATGGTATGGGGGGGGTCGGTCAATCCTGCGTCACCTATTTGTAAAATCACGAGCCGCCACTGTGTGGCTCTCTTACTAGAGGATCATAGTGGAGAGGCATTAAAAGATGATCAAAACTGGAAAAGGTAAGTGTATTACTAGGGGCATTAACTCGCGTCGATTAAGTTTAGCTCAATTGTCGTATTTGCGTAATAAAAATTCAGCTTGGCATTTCTGTTTGTACGACAAAGGCTATTTCCGGAGAAATAAAATATTTTCGCTTCCTCGATGATAAGATGTTTCCGAGCTAATAAAGCTAGTTAGTACCTCTTGAGCGGGGGGCCATAGCAAATGCTTTTTCCGGTTCTATTCAGTGAACATACAACTTCTGCCCGTGCAAGTGATTGTACACGCGTTAAGGAATACCTCAGCACCGAATGCCGGGTGGCAATACAAGTCCACCAATGAGCCACTTTAGGACTATTTTACATCATGAACATGCAAAAAAGAAGGTGTTAGACAAGGAACAGTCGACCGAGGCGGTACCACCCGCTAGCTTGATAAATGTCTCCTCACCTAAGCTACGCAGTCGGTCATCTTCCCCAACAAAGAAATTAATGATGATGGATCCCTCGAGTACTAAGAATTCCGGACCGTAAACTCACTTTACCCTCGGATTGTCTGGGTGGAGGGTGGACTCGAGGTAACAACATCGATGATGAAATTTCTTTCACGAAGATCTGTGAGATTTACACCAACATTGATGCTGTTCGTCACTACCTGCAATCCAATCGTCCCGCAATGCTTTCTTGACGGATACAAACATCTCAAAGACTGCAGCGATTAATCATCTTAGCTTCCCAATCAATCTGAGAGAGAACGGGAGAGTTGTAAATTTTGTCCGCAGCAGTCTTTCCTGCTCCAGGGACGGTTCTTTGGAATCAGGCCAGAAAGACATTCTGTGGCTTCCACTCAGGTCCAGAGCATCCCGCAAATCTGTTTGCAGTCTTTATCGCTCTCCCTCGGACCATAATCGGGATGCCCTACTTAAATACCTCGCTGACAAGATCGAATTCTTGAACACCAACGCTTCGGAGACAGTTCTTCTTGGTGATTTCAATGCCCAAGTGGAAGATTTGGTAGTAACGGCTACAGCAGCTGGTTAAGGAGTTAAGGTAGCTAAGAGGAACTTGTAGAATTACGAAGTATAAAATCATATTGAAAATAAATAGTGAACACATCAAAAAACTACCTTAACACAGTTGAGTACTCAGCGTAAAAGTAAGTAGCAAAATTTTAAGCGTTTTAGGAGCTATACCTTTACAAATATCTGCTAATCTACTTGAGTGAGTATTGCGACTGACGTCCAGTTATTACCACCCCTACATCAGGAGTTCCTCAATGATCTAACGTCTGTCCTCTTCTGGTCCTGCTGTACAATAATCAGTTATCATATGAGCTAGATGCTGTTTTAAAAAACACATCTCCACTTTAGAGCGTTGGTGCCTAAAAGGGTCATTGAAAATATATTGCCCTGCATTACCGGATCGTTTTCAATATTCTTAGACCAGCAGGAAATCACCATCTTACATTTCGTTGTGATATAGAATATCTCAATAGGTGCCTATCAAACAGAATGTGTCAGTGTGCGAGTGATACTTCGATAGCATTAGTTTAATACTACGATGCTAGCAGGATGGAAACCACAATATTAGATAGCCAGATATATTCCACGCTTAGACTAACATGATTTGTTGTATAACGTTTTGAATTTCCTATGATTGGGTGTTAACTATTCCGAGTAACGCTGTCGATGAGTTTTTCTGCTTGAAAACCTACTGACCTCTTGAGAAGATAAATCGGTGAGTTTGATATAGCAATATGAAACACCCTGTATTATTTACAACTGTCTGTATCTATAGGCCACATAGTAGCAATATATGTCAGCACCGTTGCTTTTCCAAGATCCTTTGTCAAGCGGTTACCAAATTGGACAATAAAGCGCATTAGAAGCAATGCCACCGTTTTCATAGTATTGCCCAAAAAGGCATCCCACTCGTAACGGAATTCTGTGACTCACTGCCTTGTCTGAGATTACTAATGATCTCGCGACGTTGTTAGTCAGGCAACATATTCTTTATGCTAAGGTATTGTTTAAACTATTTCATAATAATTTGTAATGTGTGCAATATTGAGTGAAAGTAAAGCAAACGGCTGACGGTCTACATTCCACATCATTAAGCTGTATGACGTTTTAAGAACAGTATTGAGAATTCAGAAGTGAAATGTCAAAACGGTGTCGAGAGGATTGACTTTGCAATTATGATTCTTTTTAGGATTTGGCCTCCTGAAAAAATATTCTACCCTTCGCTCTTCAAAATCTGAAGGCAAGTACGCTTTCACATAGAGTTATCTTTTGCCGTTAGCTGCCTCCCCTTCCCATCCCCTTAAGAAAAATTCCTGCCAGCGCACATGATCCAAACTACAGGAATTATTTCTAACTTATCTTTGACGTATCAGCATCTCTATGGAAAAATGATCGACTGTAATTAGTATAGAGAAGGCACACTAGATATCCTGGCACTTTCCAATAAGTAGTTTTAATCATACATCTTGAACATCGTAAATACTTCCTACTGCCTGTTTTGCGTACTTATGTGTAAATCCAGTATTTGTAGTCAAGACTTCGGTTAATGTTACTTATCCTAGAATAATTTATTACTTATCTTTGACCTATCAGAATTTCGATGCAGAATTGCTTGAAAGCTTTATTCGATTTGGGGATGAGTAATGTACTTTAGAGATGGTTGACTGATTTACAATAAGTATTTTTGACTATCTCCTATGATTAACAATACTTTTCGCTGTGACAGAAAAACGCCTTTTTTTAACATTGTCCTTTGACTTTCATATCAAGTTTCATATACTGTCATGCCCTAATGTGATATTAATTTCTGTATAAAAGTTCTCATTTCCGTTTTCTAGAAGCTAAGCGTTTGAAACCGGCTCGTGAGACAACAAGTGTGACTAGCACCGCAATATCAGAGCCGTTGGGTACCGTCACGTTTCTTATAAATGGCGAAGATATAAATTCGTGATAGAAGAGGATTCGAAGCCGTCTTCTCAATAATTACGTTATACTGTTCATTTGAAACAACGGAAAAGTAGCGTAGTCGTTTTAGCAATTATTTTGGAAGGTGTCAATGGAATTTTCTTGTCTGAGCTTTCTTTCACGACGTCGCCGCACTTTAGGGACAAAGCCGCTATGTTTCTCCTGCTTTGTTGGACTGTCGTACCAAAAACTTGCCGGTACCACCGCTTTTTTGTGTCAAGTTTTGACGACCATCTGCTCAAGGATATTTTTCGCAGCTCTGCCCTCCTGGCTGCTTTAGTATTAAACATGGCGACAACTAGGTTGTCTCTGCTCTTCTCACGAAACTCTGTCATCAGTTCATAAAAGGCACAAGTTAACCGCTCTGAAAAAAAGGGTTAGCTACGAACATCTCATTCCAATCTGCATATGAATCAATTCGATCGTTTTGTTTAAGTGCACGTATTTCTACAACCTCCCTGAAGATAAATTCTTGGGACCACCACTGCGCCATTTCTAAAGGGATTAGTCGACGCTACGTCATTGTACATAGGACTCGATACGCTTGTATGAACTTCTTACGAAGAATCTGGCAATGCTGTATGGCGGGGCACTCAGAGAATCGGGCAGTGCCGACGCAAATACGTTCACGCGTGTGTTGGAAGTATTTCAAGGGAAATATATAGACAAATCAATGATGTGTAAAATATTTCTAATAGGTGCGTAGAAGGAGTTGGAGTTAAAAAAGTGTAAATATACTAACGCCAAAAAATTTAGGCATCGCCTCCCCCACCCCTACAACATCAAACCCTCATTTTTAACCACTACAACAAAAAGAAGTTTGACAGATGTTTATTTACTTCATGGTTTGTATATAGCTTCGCGTCAATGAGATCGATTCTCACAAACTACAAAGCTTTTTCTCCCTTAGCCTAGTAGCTTGTGTAAAAAAGTTCATCCAAATCCAGTTATTACTTTCAAAATTATAGATGGGCCAAGACTTAAACAATATGATATTAATAAGAAGCTTATCTGTACGGATCCTGAGAGCTAGAAACATAAATAGTGAGGAAAATGGCATAGCACCTTGAGAAGTACGAAATGAAGAGTGAGGTAAACTTGTTTTTAGGTTAGAGCGACTACTCAAAACATTTTAAAAAGAAACAAGTGGTTATGAAGGTTTCAATCATTTCAAAGTAGCAATTCTAGATTCCACTTTTTCCGAAGTCTCAAGAAGGCTGTACTGATTTCGATGACTTCATAATTATTAACCAGGACAGAAAGTCGCTTTATATTCACTTTGAAAATTAATTAATATTCTTGATAAACTGACTGATCTAATATTTTCCTAATCGAATGCTCCTAATCAATATGTAGTCAGGTAAAGACGTAATAGCGCTACTTTCCAAGTCATTACTTCTGCTTTCTCGGAGATAAATTGATAACTCTAAAAATAATGGTTCCATCTCTTAAAAATGACTCGAAACAATGGATGAAAGTTACCGTTCTGAAGGATTCCAGTTAAATATTGATCTGATCAATTGCTTGCTTCTCGGCCAGTTTCTTTACAGGAATGGCTTAAATATCGCAACAGATCTTAGGATATTCAGCGCAAAGCTTCACATAAATGCAGTTTTCCAAATTAATATGATGCATCGTTACAAAAAGGCAAATTACCGATATAACAACAGCATTGGAGGTTCAGCTAGCGAAGCAATAATGCTTGACTCAGTTAGTAGAATCAAGCTTACTTCAAAGATAAAATGTGACGATTCGTACTTAAATTCTATATTTTTGCACGGGTGGCAGAATCAACTGTCAATCTAGCATTACTTTATAAGAGAAAATAAAGCTGTGATACGAAGAATCAAAAGCGAACCTTGACTTTTTATGGTCACGCGCATATTGCCCTGTCCATCCCAGTGCGTTTTTGAAAAATCTAAATGCTGCCAATACCGCTAACCGACAAGCAGATTGTGTCACATTAATCTGACCTGGCTCCTATTTGTTATGAATCGTAAAAATGATTCAATGTCAATGAATATTGCTTCTACGTTTTTTTGTTCGATTTCATTGGAACTCATAAGCTTTATTTTTATATCACTTTTGTTATGAAAGGTCACGTTATTCAGTCCTCTTTAATTTATATTATTACACGCTACCCGCACAAGATTTTTTAACGAGGTGTAGTTGGTAGCACGAACAGAGCTGAAAACGTTTTGGAGGGCTTTCAAAGTGGATTTACGTGACCAATTAACTACTGTACTTGAACAAGAATATTGGGAATAACGTCCTGATTGCAGTGTAATTCTACTGATTTCTCGTAAAAACAAATGTTAAGTGATAAAAGGACACTGCTCTTAACAAGACCAATTTCCCCCAACTCAAGTTCAACCAGATTTCAACGTTCGTTGTGTTGCGTTTCTGTTATCACCGAAAATAACTGTTAAACAACTGGTAGCTTCGTTTTTAGGTTGTGGAGAAAGTCAGTAATGTCCAGTAGACCGGTTTTTATTTTTTACTCAAAAATGGCGCATCGAACGAAAACAATTCAAGAGAGATCATTTGTTCATTAAATTGAACGGGGAATTTAAAAATAATTTTTATCTGGCCAAAGACCATTGGCGTACTATTTTTTTCTTAAAAAAATATCGAAGTCAATACCCGTACGCACGCCACTGTTGAAGCTAAACATTATTTTTGCATTGAAAAATATGCAATTTTATCAACTTTCACTGCGTACTAAATATCAGTGAAATATCTGAAGCGGTTCTGAAAATATTAATTAATTTCCATGTTTTTTCCTAAAACTTCAACACCCCGAGTTTTTGTAAGAAAACATTTTTGGACCATCGTTTATAAAGCAAAATAACATTAATTTTTCATGTAGATTCACACCCTTAAATATTCGCATATCATTATATACTTTGAAGTTGAGTCATTAATTTTCAGATAATGATTGTAGAAGGAAGATAAACCAGAATATGCTTGTAAAAATAAAAAAAAATTAAAAAAAAATTTTTACCTTGTTTTATAAAGTATCCTCCCGACAAGTATTTCAGTGCGGACCTGTATTTGATCGTGAGGTCCCCTGTGAGGTCTTCAAGTCACCTGATTCACGAGCCCGTTGTACTACATTAACAAAGGCACGAGGGGTTGGTTGCACTCGATTGGGAAACCGATCCGCATAAACATGTGCCATTTTTTATTTCGTTTGAGCCACGCAACAGACACTATTCACACGCTAACCGACTGTATGTATAACTGAACTGAATAAAATACTTAATTGCAAAAACGTCGTTCCAAATTCTTTCGCTTTTTTGTTTCCGATGCGATGAACCGGTAAGGCGGATTATATCCGTTGTTGCCAAACACGAGTACATGATATTATTATTGAGACAGGGCGGTACTCAAACTTCCAAAGGGCTATAACTTTGTTACTTTAATTTTACCAGAAAAATGGTAAAGGAAAGAAACATTTCTTTTGATCAGATCTAGTCACTGTTAAAATAAATGACTCAACTTCGAAGTCACCCTGTATATATATATATATATATATATATATATATATATATATAAAATACCCAATTAAAATGATTTAATACCTGTTCCCATCAGGGTTTTTTGTCAAAGGGGAGGGTTGGTTTCCAGCAAAATCGACTGTTAACAGCTACAAAACAAAGTTGGAGGAGTGTGAATGGTAGTTCTCCACAATGCGCAAACTTCTTCAGAACATGGACGTGGGTATAAAAATTAAATTACCACTGAGAGTTGAAATGCCATTAGAAACTGGACGGGGTGGCACCCAAACCAACACAACTAAAAGTAAGGTACAAAATAAAAGCGTACTACTAATCTGGTGTTTGGGGCGCTAATATCCCAGAATCTGGAAGTTAACGAAACAACGCCCACACCATACCTCAGCAGAAACAAAAAGAAAAATGGCGCTGGATCCGTCTGCACACGCTACCTCTAAAACAACGAACCTTGATAGTAAATTAAATTTCAAAAGAAGGTATCTTGAAAGGATCAAATATCCCTATACAACTAGTACGTTAGAAATCACAAGGTGGCACTGCATGCCAATGGGTGGGACCAACTCTACGAGGGACCAACGATATTTTATGAGGAAATTTCCGAAATAGTCGTTAGTAATACTATAATATTAGTGTCCAAAAGATTTAAACACAACACTGAATCTCTGAGAAAGAAATGTATAATACGTGTGCAATTATATAATCAATAAACTATAAAATTTGCCAGATGAAAATAATTAAAAAGGGTTTGGCCAGGAATCGTCACTCTACCATTAATAAAGAGAAACTCAAATTACTAGTAAGCGATCAAAACAGTTAAAAAAAGGTTACGTGATTTTGGCACGTGACAAACTTCGGATATAGATGCTCTAAAATCCGTGAAGCGCTTCAGCGAATTATTCTAATGCCTTTTAGGGATGCGAATACTGCAGAGTGTTTTTAAACTGATGAAGTCGATCCAAAGCAAGTACCAGGTGATAGGTATTGTATCTACAGCAGCAAATATAATGGATTGTACAAGGCGCTTTTAATAATTCCTTTCAGGAATACATATGTCACCGTTTGCCTTTATCTTCGTATACTTTTGGTATGGAAGATGACATACAATCAATTCAAACATCCGATTTTAAGCTGAATTTTTGAAAAATCTAAATGCTCCCAGTAACGCTACCCTACAAGCAGATACATAAGAAAAGATGTATCACACTGATCTGACCTGGCTCCTATTTGTAATTAACTCGTAAAAATGATTCAATGTCAATGGAGCTTGCTTCTACACTTCCTTGCTTGAATTAATTGGAACTTATTTTAACATCACTACATTCTTCAGTCCTCTTCAATTTAAGCTGTAGCAGCCACCTTGCACTAATGTGGCGTGCACCCCCATTCTTTCACTTCTCGTCTCCGAAGTCTGGATCGTAAAGACGGTCGGCTGCCGGTTTGGAAGTTTCGTTTCGTTTGTTCTAGAGAGTTTGGCACTAATTACGATATATGGGGCAAAGCCGGCCTTGTTTCTGCCTCTCCACGAATCATTAGGATTATTTCGAGTGCTATTTTCGTTGTTTCACTGCCGGAGCATGAGAGCAGCCAAGCAGACGGCTTAATGTTTGCCGAGATAACAATTAAAGAACAAATTGATGAAAGCACAGTGGAATGCCGCTTTAACGACAAGAATGATACTTTCGACCAATTGCTTTAGACATGAAACCGACTGAAGGGATGGTTTAAGACTTTGACGCATATCAAAATGTCACAATCAATTGTATATAAAGGTAGAGGTGCCACAAGGATCTATTCTTGGTCCTATATTGTACGTATTTGCTATAAGCGATTTCGTGACATGACACTCAACTGAACGAATATTCGAGAATAACATATTTGACGATCTGTATTAGTAGCAGTACCATGAGGTTAAAAAAAATGGGTTGAATGACCTGCAGCTGTTATTTTTTGGATCGATTTTGTGGTATATTAGAAATAATTTTTTCGTGATGTAAACGTTTCTGGTCCAGTAACCTAGATAACTTGCTTGTTGGTTCTCCGTGCAGGACAAATTTTTCCGGCTACTTCTTTATTAGCGGTTAATAAAGTATAAGGACAGACTTGAAAGGGAGTTTCCTTGAAAAGTGAAGTGAAATTGATGAAGGCACAGTGAAATGGCGCTTGAACGACAAAAATGATACTCCCAACCAATTATTTTAGACATAACAGCGACTGATCCTGTGATTTATACATTGAGGCATATCAAAATATATATAGGTAGATGTGCCACAAGTATCTACTACCCTTGGTCCTATACTATTTGTAATTACTATAAACGATGACGCGCATCCAAATGTCTATTCCAGAGTAATAGATGACCTTCACACATCCTTTTGCATACCTAGTCAGCCAACCTTGCTACTCCCTAGTATCATGAGGTTATAAAAACGGGTTGGAGGACATGCAGCTTATTCTTTGGATTTACTTTGTGGTATATCAGTAATAATTTTTTTCAAGATGTAAATATTTCTGGTCTAGCAACTTAGATAAATTTGAAATTGCTTGTTGGTCTTTTGTGCAAGATAAATTCTTACGGTTAATAAAATACATGGAAAAACTTGGGTTAATCTGAGAAAAAAAATCGTAAGTACATGGGTCCGGAAACGATGCGTTATTGTAATACAAAAAACGAAACTTTTTTGGAAATCAATCTTTTTGGAAAAATCGTATTTTGTTGCTCGATTTGTTGCCCACCTGGATCGTCGGATTTAAATCTGTAAAAATTTTCCAATGCAGAATTGAGCTTTATGGTCGTATTTTTCCTGTCCATATTCTACAAGTCGGCTAAACGCCCAACTAACAATTATCACTCGTATTAGAGTTGCAAGAATGATTATTCAGTATTCCTTACACAGCATTGTATACTGTAAGAACATTGGCAAAACCCTCTTAGAACAGCTATACAAGCGGAATGGGCACACCTAATAGGGCACTTCAGTTATTTAAGAGGTTGTATAAGCGCTGCACGTAACATTTATACAACAAAAGTGTAAGCCCCTTGCAGCCGCTATAGGACATTTGCGTCAGTGCAAGATTCAGTTTTTGTCAACTATGCAACTATTCTGTTAAGTGATTTTACTTTATTGCAGCCAAACTGTTTCTTATGTATTGCATAGACGAAGTGAAGAATATATAACTAACACATTACAGTCATCTTGTTTACTTACATATCTGCCATTGTGAATTTCATACACAGGTATATGATAAACTTCTACACTGTGATATCGGGCTATTGAATTACTTGCGCAGCAAATTTTATTGTGATTATCGTGCAAAGTAGTTACGCAATTTCTAACGGCATCTTATTTCATGCATATTTTGATAATGATCAAAAGTATGTCTAGATCTTTAAGATGGAAAACTGAACTTATCTGCGTCAAATCTTCCACAAATCTTATATTTAGACACCATTACACTAATGTTTATCACTTTATATCTGTAATTTCGAACTGAAACATAATAATTTAATATCAAATAGAGGAATAAATGTTTGCCCAATATGGCGGGTGGTTGTGTATAATCATGGCATCGTCCATGTGGTCTTTAGGTTATTAGAATGTTTTGGTGTTGCCTGCAGGTGTTATACAATTTGACAAATGTCTGAAATGAAATACCGACAGAGTCGAATGATTCACCCAGAATTTGTACCAGATCTATATCTTCTGTTTGAACAGCTGATAAAACATTTTGAACCAATATGCATGCGTTGTTTGTCTTAAAACATTGGTTATGGCATTTTAACTAAAATATGACAGCAGAAAGTTAGGTTATGGTGAAGTTGTATACCAACACATTTAGGAGTTACAAAACAACAGTTTTATAAGTGCTTTCGTTGGGAGCAATTTGTTGGCTAAAGTAGTAAATTTGCACAGCAAAACAACAAGGCTCGGGTTTGTTTTATAAACGTTACCATGGATGCCACAACACAACCATTTTGACTAACCTGCAAATATGCCGTATAAAATAGTTGTATAAACGTTTATGTATCAGTTAAAAATTTGTCCTATAAGGTGTTGTGCAACTATGCTATAAGAATATTTTAAACGCCTCATTTTAGGGCAAATATGTTACAGAAAGCAAATTTGCATTCCACTCAACATTAAGCCTGCATTTTGGTGTTCAGGCAACAACAATAGAAAGCTTGTATGGCTGAACAGTTCTTTTACCAAAACCTTATAGCACTACTTTGCTAGTTGGGCGGTTCTTTCAATGTTTTCGAAAAAGCGACTTTTCAAAACAAGGTCCATTCAGTATCAAAAAGAAGTATTTTGGTACTCATGTTTATATTAACTTTATTTCTCAGAAACCACCCGTTGGAGTATGTCTAGGTACTTTACTAACAGATAGATTTTTTTCTGAAAAATTGTTATCCCGCAAAAAAAGGTTGGTCGGTGGATATGAGACTTCAGAGTGAGGCTTTTGGATGCGAAGCGGTTGCGGTTTGGGCGCCACCTAGTTTCAAAAACTAGGAAATGAAATAACAAGTAACAACTGGTGGGTATCTGGAGCTGAGGAGACACAAACCCACAAGGCACACATACATTTATTGAACACAAAAAAAAATAGGAGAAGTCCTGGACGATGAGCTAAAGGGAATCAATTTTTTTTACCCCCCCAGCTAGATGGTTTCCGGTAAATATTAAAATAAAAAATAAAAACCACCTATGCAGGTGCTTGGCTATTACCGGTAGGCAACCGAGAGCAGGAAGTCCCAGATGTAACCTGAAGGTAGAACCCGAAGGTGGAACCCGAACATAGAACCCGTAGGTAGAACCGAAAGGTAGAACTCTCGAACAATGAGGGTTCACAAAAATGGGGAATTGCTCCTCAAAGGCGCCTCGGATTATCCCTGCAGACGGTTCAAATCGATAGTTGGTGGTTATGTCCACGGTAAATGCCTAAGAGGCTTCGTTGAAAAAAACACCAATTTAATAACAACCTCACCACTCTATAAACTCGTAACCCTGCGTGTGAAACTATTCACAAAATCGGAAGGTGGGCCACAGAATTCCTACACCAGAGCACCGGAAATAGCACCGAGTTACCTTCAGCTCTCGTATTTACGGTCGACAGAGATTATAAAAAACGAGCTTGAACGGGATGGAGAGTACGGTATGATTCTCTACCACAAAATTATTAGATCAGGAGAAGTGTTTTGTTACTAAAAATAAAATTTGATATTTTTAAATTATTCTTCTAAATAAGAAAAACGTTGTAATGATTTACTTTATAGGTAGTTGATTTTTAGTCGAACATAAAAAGAAACTGTATCAAAATTATATAATAAAATATACTGATAACCGTTCACTTCTATATGGTACAATAGATAACGTACCAAATTTGCCTGTACGTACGGAAACTGATAATAAAAAAGTAATTCCAAGCTAGTAACTCTCACCAGCCAAGAGTATCCATATTCTCTCACACGTCGAGGATAGATAAAATGTCAGTAATAAAGCATTCAGGTGTAAGAATTCTGTTGTAAAATCCTCCGTTTCGTGGCAAACAGACACAAGCGTGACTTGTTCAATTAAGACATGCGAGGAGGATGTTATTACTTTGTTCTAAAGATTTATGTGTGGAGAGATTACAACTTGTGAAACTAAGTGCACGCACGCTAGTGTGTCTCACCCTTCTCACATTCTGTATGTTCATGTGGAAAGCAGAATCTAATCGATTCTTTATTAGACCTCTTTGTTATTTTCTCAAAATATGATACGGAATACCTTACAATGCGTAATAACTTGCACGTGAATCGTGCCACGCTCTTTTTTTTTAATTAAGATCACTTTTTAATTTTAAGATAAAGTTATTTCTCTCAATTGAGGCAATGGATGATTAAAAAAAAAACTAGGGGGTTACTGAGGCTAAAGCCGTCGTTTAGCGTTGGCAAATTAGGCCCTATGCTCAGGCACACCGGAGAGTAGGGGGGGGGGGTATTCTTTAGGGGCGCCACCAGCTTTTATCCGCCAAAACTGGAAGACGCCTTGGTGTTAAAAGGCACTCTTTAGCCCAAAATCCCAAGAAACAAAAACAAAAATACATACAAACAATAAATTTTCTCTGTGGGTAAATAATTGCCAAAATTGACATCAATACATTTTATTACATCTACTAACGTCTAACAACAAAAATTTAAGCCAGCCAAACTAGGAGATCTCCCTTAATGCGAAAGCTTATTGACCAACTAGTTTAAAATAGGCGAGGAAGGCTTCAAAACCGATGACGTAAGAATCCCTATGGTAGAAAAAGGGTCTCTGTTCGGAAAGAGGTCCCTGGTAGAAAACGTGTCAATGGATCTCCAGTAGCGAAGATTCCCCCAAAATAAAAAACCCTAGGAAGAATATAATAGTATTCAGGCGATCGAATGTAACAGTATAAAAAAAATTCAAATTTAGTTAACAACAATTAACGTAATTGGAAAAGTAATCTTCAAATATTGAATATTAATTATTTTGACCACCCGGTATAACAGATTTAAAATTACACTTTGAGTTACTCGGAAGATATCATAAAACCAACGCATGCTCCACAGAATACTAAGTTAACTCCATTTTAGAACAAGAATAATTATTTACTTTTGAGAAAACTCATATATATGAGACATATGGTCTTTTGCCTAAATTTTCATTTACTCAAAATAAAATAATGCTCACCTAGATGATGTCGGGTAAGGTTTTTCACGTGGATCAATCTGGCGAAAAGTGCGGCTGAAGACAATAAGATCCTACAAATTGTAGAATTTCTCGGGTCCAAGGGTAGACAAAAAAAAATATGCTACGCACTCACAACAGGAATGACCCAGGAAATCTATGAAATTTTCTTCCTCAATCCAACGAAGATGCCGCAGGCAAAAAATAAGGAAAATTTCAGGTCTTCTGGCACTAGCGGAACAGAACAAAATGGCCCTCCGATAGTGAAAGGAAGTCCCCTCCCAAAATTTAATTTATTATTATTAATATAAATTCAAGGAAATATCGTGAGTGAATGTGGCAACACTGTCATATCTGCATATAAATTTGATTGATTAATAAACATAAGGAAATTCTGAAATAAAATTGGCAACTATGCGGAACAAGCGAGGTGTGCAAGTAGTTCGGTACGCAGAATAGTACCTCGACGTCAGCGACATCAGCCTTTGAGATTGTAAGATTTCAGAAAACAATAATAAATTCATCTGGCTATAAAAGAAATACATAGTCCAATAGGTGAGTAATAATATTTATGCAACACAAATAGTTTTTAATTCAGAAGGTGATATCAATTTATAGATGTACATTTATTTATTTATTTATTTTTAGCTCCGGAGTGAAAAACCGGATTGTTGTTGGGATGTAAACAAATCCCCGAGGCGAAAATTTCGAGATTGAATTGATTTCTTGACGGTGGCAGATCTAGCATGGGATGGAAGCAACCGAGTTATTTATGAAAATATGTGGAGATGAATACTAAAATTATTATTACTCATGGTGAACTAGGGAAATTACTAGGCAACACAAGAAGAAATTGTCCATATCAAGGTGAGTAAATTCTTCAATTAATTACCTGAATGCATGAAAAATTGACTACACATTTATAAACTTAGTGGTAGAAACTGTAAAGATGATCAAAATGGAGTGCGATTACTGTACGTTAAATTTAGTAACTGAAATTTTTTGATTATAAAATAGATCAGGATGGATTATGTTTAATTGATTGAGAAATATTTGGTTTCAGTTCCCAAATTGTTCAGTGACATGGAAGATGCTGACTACTATATACAGGCAGCCAAACGACTACAGAAGGAAAACAACGGATACAAATTAAAAATTATAGTTATTCCGTGGTATTCATGTGTTATGTTTGTTATTTCAAATAAACATGATAATAGGTAAATGTCTGCGTGTTATTTATTTTGGTTATGAATTACGTGAGAAAAATATAGCTAAATACACCGTTAAAAACAAGCCCTATCTTCGGAAATGGCCAATGGGCCGGTCTAGTCATTTTTGTCAATAAAATTGATTTAATAATATGCTATGAATAGAAATAATATGCTACGGAGATTATTAGATTAGATTATTGGCTTTTGTTTCTTCATTCTCAAGTTCTTGCTGCATTACTTCAAATTAAACCTGTACGACAACAACAATAACAAAAAAAAGATATATGATTCATCGGCAATAAAAGGCAATTGTTAAAATCGTTTGTGTCAAACGCAAAATGCCTACTATGTATTAGCACTGATTAACGTGTTCCCCAAGAAGATTCCGAACTTCATGCTGTATTTGGGCGTTCACAAATTTGCATCGTTAAAGCCACGTTGCCGAGTGGAATTGCAGTAACTCCTTCAAGGGTGTTGCTCAGGGATCAATCTAATCCACAGTTTTGCTGCAATCTGGGACAGTTTACTGCTTCCAAAACACAAAACACCTTTACAAAGGAGAAGCATCCTAGTGTTCATCCGCTTTCGATAGATGGCTCAGTTCCTTCAAAGAGCCATTCATTTCGGCTCGTCAGAATCCAAATCACCGAAGAGTTGATCTGGAACGAACACATCTAGTTCAGTAGCGGCAGCTACTGGGAAAAGATAAGAAGTATCTTTCTTCACCTAACATCGTACTCTGTACGAAGCCCAGATAATACCTAACCTGAAGTACTGACTTCGGGCTCCCATATTAACCATGTTGAAGTTCATACATCCAGAACTGGGCGATAGACTGCTTCTTTGTCCCTAGCGTATCGAGAAAGTGGATGCAGTTCAAAAATCGGATTGTATTAAGTGCCCTGATATTAAGGCTTCTGCCTACGTGCCTGCTTCGGTTTAAAAAAATGGTACCACTCGTCCAAAGAAAGATGATTCCCAACTTGCCTTGTAGTTATTCCTAAAGGCGAGAATACACATGCTTGTTACAAGCACAGAAGCATGCCAGTTACTGGATTGTGCGTGCTACTTGCATGTGTGACTTTCTTTGCCAGCAAGAAAGCACGCTAGAAGATAGCACGCCAGTAGATCGCAAGACGTTTGAGTTTTGTGTGCCAGTAGCAGGATTTCGTCGAGGGAATGGAGGGGAGGAAACATGCGAGTCATGTTCAAAGGTGTGTGAACGACATCGTTACCAGAAAGTCGCATGTGAAAAACGGATTCTTGAACTATAGAACTATTTGTTTAGTTCCGGGCAAAATGGCTCGTTGGGGAGACGAAAAGACTTTATTGTTTGTTATGCAGTATAGGGAGTATGCGTGTTTATGGAATACATGATCTCCATTGTATAAAAATAAAATCGCTAGAGACAATGCTTAAAAGTCTTTAGTGAAGCAAATGACTGATAACAATTTAACATTGAAATTTATGAAAAATAAGATAAAAAACCTAAGAACAACCTACCACCAAGAGTTAAAGAAGATAAAGGAAAGTTTTCACAGACTCTCACATCCAAAACTAGCATGTGTATTTTGGGATGTCGTAGGACAAGTAGTTAGCATACAAGTTACTGGCCACTGGCATGCTATTTTACTGGCATGTGTATTCTCGCCTTTAGAGCTAGTTTTGTCTGCGTTATATTCAATATTCGAGACATTTTTATGTTTGAGAAACTGAGCTAAAAAATCCTGAGTAGTCGTCACAGAAGATATGCCTATATGGTGGAACTGAAAGGCTACCGGGCTCTGCCTGAACCAGGCACTGAAGTTAGTCTTACTTCCCACGCCACTCACGGCGCTGTGCGAGTACTGGAGTCGCGAAAAATTTCGATATTAAGAATATGTTTTTTGAATGTTGTATGACACGAGAAACCATGTCGCTCATTTCCGACGATCTGAGACTAAGCTTAGAAGCTCCTGATCGTATATATAGATGTTAAAAATTGAGTTTTTTTATTGAATGTGTGATCTCTCTAGTATTACTCACCTGTTAGACACATATTTCGCATAATAGCTCCAGCAACACCGCGGTATCATTTACCTACGTGGCATCTGATCCGAATTCAGCAACGCCGACGGAGCCCCAGCCGCAGCGTCATCGGAATACGGCGGTGTAACTATACTAGGTCGTACAAAAGTTATCCGGATACTCAGCACCATGTAAAGTGGACTCAGATACTAAAGGGTAGGCCATCAGTCGGATTTTTTAAGTTCATATTATTTTGACAGTTGGTAACACTTCCATGCTCAACATATTGACAGATATATTGTGGCAAACTTCCGCTGTGAGCAATCTCTGGTTCCAGCAGGATGGCGCAACATGGCACACCAGCCGTGAAACAATCGATCTTTTACAAGTTCGGTCACCGCCTTATCAGCCGTTTTGGAGACGCTCATAGGCCAGCCCGCAGCTGTGATTTGATGCCCATGGATTACTTCCTATGGGGTACTGTTAAGGACCGCTGTTACACTAAGGATCCTCAAGCAATTGGTGTTCTTAAAGAAAATATCCGTCGAGCTATAGATGAAATAGACCCACAAACTATCGAAAATGTGCTTCAAAATTGGGTTAAGAGGAAGGACTACTGTAAGGGTAGCCGCGGCAGCCATTTAACTGAAATTGTTTTTCATAAATAATCGGAAGGTGTATTCTTTTGAATGAAGTATCGAGTGTTACATATTATTGAAGAATGTAGTTTTAATTTCAATTTGAAAAAGTAACCAACAGAAGGCCCACCCTTTATAAATGGTTAATAATTTCAATTTCAAATCAACATTAATGATTTTCACTGATATTCTCTTTTACAGTCTTTTGCCACGGTGCAAAGATTCTCATAGCCGTCGTAGATTCAATATCCGTTTATTCGGAAGTCGAGATTCACTCTACCTGATGCCATTTTTTTAACAAACTACGGAGACTGTTTCGCATAATCCTACAGAAATAAAGAAACACGCCTACCACCTTAGGCACAATGGATGTGGCCAAAGCTATAAATCTTCCGATATGCCAAATGGATTGAATACCAACCACAAAATACACAATGATCTATTGTATCTGGTCCATTCATGACAAATTTTCAAATCCGGATCGCTCCTCACAAAGGCATCGCATACATCACTGGTCTGTCCTACTTACAGCTGTAATTAGGCATAATGTTTCTGAAATGGCATCACAATAGGTGTATGTGGGTATTTGAGCAGATGCTGGATATGTGAAGATTCGTCACATCAAAAGAAATGGTGCTTATTTTGATTTGGCTGCTGGCGACTGTAAAGGTACGTTTCCACTAACAACATGTCGCGTCATGTGCCGGCATGTGTGTACCAGAAATTTGTAGTTAGTCTGCTACCTGTTGCAAAATGAGCGCCGGGGACAAGAATACGCCAATAAATTTGAATAGGAGCCATAAGGCTACACTGCATTGTTTGTCGCCAAAGTTGTGTAGTTTTAGAACCATATCGTCAGCCGTTCCTACAATTGTTAGCTCCTCTATGGCTTCTTTGAGTTTCCTAGATTTCTACTGTTCCCTGTCAGCACTTTGAGGTTATGTTATAAACATCTATTTGCATCAAATTGTTCATGCTTTTGATTTATATCATCTGTTATATCAGCTGGAATTTCCTACAATTCAAAAAGAAAACACCCTCACAATATGAGAGCGCTGACACTGACACGGAACAGAAGAAATCTAGGGATACCCCAGTCTTGCAGAAGGAGCGAAAAGACTCTAAATATCAAAGCGACCATAATGGCATCCTACTATTGTAGGAACGGCTGTCGATACGGCTCTTAGTGCATACTTCTTGCTCATTTGCCTACCATTGCCCACCAAAGTGACAAGCCAATCGGCGTAAATTTTTTTCTTTGGAGAGCTACTCAAGTAGCCAATTGTACTGGGTGTATTCACGTTTAGAGGGGCAGAAATGCCACCTGATTTGCGATGTGAAGGGTCAGTTATTTTTGATAAATAAGAATAAATTAGGTATGAAAAAAAAAACGAGTGTAAATAGTTATTAACTGTATAGCACATGAACAATTCTACTTATTTTGTGATATTGGATAGTGAGAAATACAAAAAATTATTTTCGTCAAACAGCATCATAGGATGAATACCTGATATTGGAAATAATGCGACAGTTTGTTTGAATTTAACACGGTTTTTCCAAATCATTGTTGTGATCCGATCAGATTCTTGGGAAAAAGCAAATACCTAATGGAACATAATTACTGCCATCATTGTGAAAGTAATTCAATTAATTTAATATTCATAGTTTTTGGGGCCTACTAGAATCTCGTGCCAATAGAAAGAAAACGTAAAATAACCATGTATGACGTGTATCCATCAAAAAATTTGGTTTGCCACCAATTCTTTCCGATTTTCAATGTTGTTTGGTATACAAGAAGTGGAAATAAATCCATGTTACCTCACAATCGATGACTATAATCCATTAACACTTATAGATCGATTATACAGTTTAAACTTTTTGCATTCCACAAAAGCCTTGACCATTTTCGACAATTATCTGGAACGTTTGCGGTATGGAAGCCACGCACGTTTGTGTTTTCGTCGAAAAGTACGAATTTTACATGAAATGTCAAAAACTGTTACAGCTGATCGAATTGTAGTATGAACTTTCATACTGACTACAGACTAAAATTTTGAAAAACAAACAAAACATAGACTTGCTTCTTCTACATGGTCTGAATTCGTTGGAAAGCGCCAACTGATTGTGTCACGTAACATGTGCGATTTTGTATGGATAAAATGTTGCAGAATTCAACCCATGTTGCGCAACGTGTTCCAGCCATTCTGATAGTCTGCAATATGTGGCGGCACAAGTGCCGGGCATACGTTTTCAAAGTGCATGGCGTCAGCCGTTTTTTTTTACTATTTATTCCCTGGCTGATTCAATAAGAATATGTTGAAATTTACGTAAGTTTACGTAGTTGCCGTGAGCTGCGCGGGTT